AAAAAAAAAAAAAAAAAAAAAAAAAGGTCTAAAGACAAGACTTCTTGTATTTTGATTGATTTAGAAAAAAGATAGTCGTTATTTATTCCTCTCGCGGAACTAGAACTAATGGCCATTGCTAGAAACCAATAGCACATTTAGATCATTGATCGAGATATTTGTAACTCAAAGCAAAAACACTTCAAAGGGGGAAGTGCATTTGTAAATACATGACTAGCCGGACGACGCCAAGGGCCTTATACGTAATCACCTTAAAGATTGGAAGGAATTTAACTTTTTAGCCATTTAATATCTGGATGTTTACATCTAAAGAGGAAAATGGTTTTTACTCAAGGTTTTGCTTGTATGTTTTCCTGTTGAAAATATATGATGCCAAGCGAGTATAAGACTGGTCGCGTTCGTGATACTCTACACTTCATCTAAGACTAAATCATATAAGAAGACGGGAATGTAAAAAGGAAAACAAAAAAAAAAATCTTCGCATTCATTTTTCCCCTGAGGAAAAGGAAAACAGTATCAGTACTAAGACTACAGGATTAATCAATTACTGAAAGTACCAAATTTTTCTCTCCATTGTTTAATTTTACCTTGAAAGGCTCACCGCAGTTATTCGATCAAGAACGACGAGGATCGTGGTTGGTTGGTTTACACACAAGAGGATTAAAGTTTTCTTCACCACAATGAATGGATAAAGAGTTCTGTTTTAGTTTCTAATGGTAGTCGGTGATTTGCAGACTGATTGTGCCCACGTTCACTATCAGCTTCAGTTGAAGTGAACTGACTGCATGATTTGGGTTTAGATTTTCAACTACGTGGCTTAGATGAAAAATCTCGGTGTCTGTCAAAGTAGCTAAGTCGGTTTAGGTTGCCATCAAGGGATGAAATCACTGCGACAAGACTAAAAAGAACCCAGGCATATGGTTTGGCCTGAGGATCCAAAATGTATAAATGTTTCAAAGTTACAAGTGTAAATGAGTCTAAGAATGCTGTTAAAGCGAGGTGTAAAATACGCTACCAAGAAAAGGACTTTTCCAGCATCACGGCCGCTCCTGTAGGCAGAGACAACCAAGGGCTTTCACTGATGTCATTATCCTCGCATAACGCTATGGCAGGGCAATCCACCGATCTTGCCCAGAGAAAAGAGGTTATCCTTGATAGCACCTGGGTGAGCATTCCCCGACTGGGAATACGCCTCGAGAATGAGAATCTCCTCACTGCGCTTAGACAATTTTATAACACAAAAGTTCAACAAAGACGAAGGAATTTCCATCAAGTAATGAGTCAAATAGAACATAAAGTCAACGATATTCTCGACTACGTCGAAAGTGTTAACACAGATTTAAGGTTCAGACGCATGAGCCCTGCTTCATATTATGAGATTAAAGCCTACAACGAGATCGACGTTTTCCTAATCCTCGAGAGACTCTCCCCTGTGGATATAACAGTCGAGGAGCTCGGTGACCCACAAGGCTATGCGCGCATACGAATTCCAACCTCGTGTTCAATGGAATTCAAAAAATGCTTCAGCTCGTTTCTCGTCCACTCAACGTCTGGCACGCAGTACCTCTCCTCTATTAGCATTGGTGGGAAGTTTAAAGGTCTTGTTCAATGGTGTTTTGAAGATCTTCCTTCGTCATGGCGACAAACTTTCCCAAGTTGTAAGTTAAATTCTCAAGCGTATCAAGTTGGTAAGAATATAATGAAAAGGGAATCAAGTAAAAGATATGAGACAACGCAAAAAAAAGTAAGTTTTGGGGAAATCAGTGCAACTGTCGCCAGCAGAGAAACCTTTTCTACCATCATTAATCTTATTCCTGTAGTTGAGTGTTCTTCTTTATGGCCACTTTGCTCCAGTTGGCTTAAATGTACTCCCCCCGCATGGCCTGACCCAACAACAATGAAATCTATTGTCGACAAGGGAGTACACTTGGTTGCCATGCCAACGGATAAGGGTGCTCAAGACGTATGGGATATCAGGTTTCTCAATGCACGACGGGTATTAATCGGTGGTTACGATGACAACGACATGAAGCGAAGATGTTTACAGATGGTTAAGGTGCTTTGTGAAAGCGAAGTTGGTTTTGCAAGTTTTTTTCTGCCGAGACATTTGGAGCACGTCTTCCTGCAGCAGAGTCAACTTCAACCAAGAAAAGAAGACTGGGTCGAGGCAAAGCTAACCGAGAGGTTCCTGGAACTACTCGTTATGCTTTATGATTGCTTAAGGACAAGAAACATCCCAAACTTTTTCGTTCCTGAAGTCAATTTGTTTTCTGAAATGAGCACAGTTGTTTCAGAGCAACTTAGTAGGAAGGTGTTGGGCATTATCAATGACCCTATCAAATACTTGGTTAGATAGATGTTAATTGTAGGTAAATTATTTTCTGGAGCAACCATGACACTTAATTTGTTGTGGGAAAATTTAAAACTTCCTTGTTGGACGCTGTTGAAACCTTGCATACTACGGTGGCCCATAAGGGACATGCAGCAAGCTAGACGAGTTGCTGCATGTTACGCCTATACACTGCTGCATGTTAAACTATAAGCACTGCGCGCGCAGTTTACTGATTGTGACTGAGTTTAAACTTATTTTAATTTTCGACGATTTCTCACTAAAACAAATTGTAATGGAATTGCTCTATTCACTATAACGTCACATCAAAACAATCTATTTTTTAAACGCAGAGGATCATGGTCGTCCGAGGGGGTCAGATCAACGCAAACTCACCGAAAATTGTTCTAAAACCCGTATCAATCCACGAAGAGAAGTAGAATAGCCAGCAAACGCTCAGAATATTTTTTTAGTACATATTAACACAAATATCTGAAAACAAGGCCATTTTAGATTAAACTGTTTCGCTAGGAGCAAATTTTGTTGAATTTTCTATTGGATTTGGCGATTCTATCCCCCACATAAACAAGCAGTGACGTCATAGTGAAATAGGGCAATTAAAGTATTCTATCATCGTAGAGAAATCAGTCTGAGGTCACTGTTGGTGGTACTTAGAAAAGTTGCTCATGATTGCAGACTTACCGCTCTCTTTTTCTTGAAGAGGCGTGAAAAGAAATGAGCTCTTATAGTTATTCTAGGTAACTCCTATCATTCTTCTGTAAATATACTTATATTTAGTTTATACTTTCTCCTTATTGTAATCTGTGGTACAAATAAAGCACGTTGTTGTTGTTGTTGAGTGGGGTTGGGTACTTATTTGTGTGTGGGGACTGGAAAATGCCAGCTTCATTGGGTAGACATGCAGTCACAGTACCATATAAACAAAAATAATAATTCTGAATCTTAGCAAAAAGCTAGGAATTAAGTAGTCAGTCTTTGTAAAAAAATGTCGCTGCCAAATTCAAGATATAATATGCTGTAAAAATGAAAATAAAAAATCTGAATACGGTGGGGATCGAACCAACTATAAAAATTTAAAAAAAAACCGATTCAACTTTGCCATACCCCCGAGACATCCGCAGAGCTGAGGCGGCGTATGGACTTCGGACCTGACGGCGATTAAATCCTTCTGCCCTTGGGTGTACGAATTACGCAAGAAAATGTTCTAGCCGAAGCATCAGGGGAGAGACCAGCCGGCCCCCAGACCATATCGGCTAATCCCTTGCATCTCTGCCACGCACGGAATCGGTTGAAAATGCAATGTTAAAAAGTCTAGTCTATTTGCATTGTTTTAAACAGCTATTGTTATGCTGATTCGTCTGGAAACGTGGCCCAGTGGAAAAAACTTGGGTTTCGATGACAGCGAGTCAAGTCCGAGTGAGTGAAGTTAGTACCTGGATGGGTGACCTAAAGACTTGTCTAAATAAAATAACTCAAATTTTTTGCAAGCTTCTTTTTTTGTAACTTTCAATCAAGTACTGTTATTTTGTCCCCCAGATCGAGCTGCATTTCAAAGTGCTGCAAGGGGTCTTTTTATATTATTTCATAGTATTCTTTATATAGGGTTTTTATATTGTAAAGCGCATTGAGATCTTTTTGGAATGTGCTAAGATTATTATTAACTATTATTTTTATTATTACTATTATTATTATTATTATTATTTATTATTTATTATTGCGGCATGCCTCTTATGGTCCACCGTAGTATACAACGGTCAGCCCCAAGATAAGTTTCAGGGGGCGTATACAGAATTCAGTCATCGAACTTCATGAATCGAACATCGAACCCAATAGACCTTATTCGTGGTGTGACAATGTTTTCCCAATTCAGTGTGACAAACCTCCAGAGGATTCATTTTCTTTTGTTTTTACTCTTCGAAAAATTCATGAGTATCCTAAAGGATACGAAAAGAATAACAATAATATACCGACGAGTTTCAAAACAATAGCTCTTCATTCCCCCAGARGTTTGTCGCGCTGAATTGGGAAAACATTGTCACACCACGAATAAGGTCTATTGAATCAATGGATAACTAGATGATCATTTGGTCGGCTCATGTGAAGTTCGACGTTTGACATGAGCCTAAGTCTCCCTCGCAACCATTCTGAGTGTTGTCACGCAATGCTATCTACAGCTTTAAGTGACAACACTAATAATGGCTTCAGGGGAGACTTTTCGCTTCTCAAATTCTAATGGAGTTCAAGGGGTGATTAGATTTGTACCTAAGCTAGACAAGCACTGATCTTGTTTAACAGCAAGGGAACTGAACCAAACTACAGAATACTCCAAAGAATGCAGTTGTGAGGTAATGTAATGATTTATTGACCATTTATAGTTTTGAAATACATTGCATTTTTTCAATGTAAGATTACAAGTGTGACTTTATTATCCAAGGCCAACCAAAAAAATTTGTATGAAAACTTGTCTGGTTGGCCTTGCTTGGTGTAGTCCCACTGTATATTGCTTTGGTAACACACCAAATAATATATAAAATGTAGCTATTCTGTGATTTAAATACAAAAAGTGTGAACTCTAGAACCACAAGTCTAGAATAAGACAATAGGCCTTTCTCACACAGCAGCCATATTAGCTGGAAAAATAGATTTTTGCCCATCCAGTCTCACATTGATTTGCTTCAGGATGAATGGGCAGAAGCAAAGGCTTTAATTCTCAATACATGTATATGGACTATTGAACACCCTGGATACATTCTAGTTACACAATAGTTGGCATACCATGGATTATCCCACAAGTCATTTGTATAATCTTTGTGTACTCACAAGTCCTCAAGCAGGTGTGCTACAAGAAAAGACAAGTGGGATATTCCATGGTGTATCATTGGAAAGCATTATATAATATTATACACCACGCAAGTGTGATTTTACTTGGCTAATGAAACGATGTTGTATATTGTATCTAGGGTCCTGGCTAAACTAGGAAACATGTTTCCAAAAATATTCATTTGTTTCCTAAGGTGGCTCAACTGTCATGAAACAGTGTAACATTGTTTCCACTTGGCAACGAAACAAAATGTTTCTTGGAAGCAAAATTGGTTGTGTGTAGCAATGTTTTTCACATGGTTGAACTGGGAACAATTAGAAAGCATGCAAATGGTAATCTGTCATGTTTCTGGAAATGTTTCCTCATTTAGCCAGGGAGTAATGCTTGAAGTAAAACGAAAAATGGAACAAGTGTCTACTATCATGTATTCAGCTTACGATTCTTTCATGGGCCAAATAGAATCACTCTGTCATTCATATTTTGTGATTCACTAGTGAATATGTTTTGTAATCGGCTGTATAATACATGTAATTGGATGAAGATTTTGAGTAAATATTGGAATCAATGTGCTAGCTTAAAATACTTTCCTATTGACAGGAAGTGTTAAGAATAATTACCTATCATAAAGATAATAACTCTTGATAACAAAACAATTTCAATTGAACAATTCAACAATTTTAATATACGAACTCATTGAACTGAATTCATTTGTTAATTTTCATTCAGTTTGGAAAAATTCTAGATATTTTCTTATGCAATTTAGGTTATGATACTAAGTGCACTTTTCTTGGATTATTTCATTTTATTTCTTGGAAAAAATTATTTGGGAAATAGATTTGTTTTTAGTGTAACTTGATTACATCATCTAGACTTCCTTTGACACATTTTAAGAAGAGCATCAAAATCCATCTCCTCAGTCTTGGATTGAGATGATGCAACATCACCATTAATTTGCTTTTCTTCCAAATAACTTGTGTTGGAGTCTGTTATGACAAAAAGAAAATGGTTAAGAAATATAGTCTAGATGCTTTGTTTATCTGAGAGTTCTCTGACATTTCTCAGCTAAAATAATAATCTAAGTAAGAGAAAACAGTTGCAAAGTATTCTTAAAGAGACCTTCGAGTGAGTGATTGAAAACATCCTATGGCACATGATGTTTAGAGAGGGCTTCTCTGCTTTCTACTGTACTTTACAGCCAAATGCTGAGGTAAGTATTATTATTACACATTTAGGGTTGATATCCATGTGATAAAGCCACGAAAAAAAAAAAAAATCAGTGAATTGATGTGATATCACTTCACGGTAAACTCGAAACTGTAAATTTTGTCATTTTATCGACCCTAAATGTGTAATGAAAAAATTATTACATGATAAGAGCCTGATATCATTTTTATTCACTCGTTTCCATACCACATCACTGACTTGCTTGCAGACTCACTCGTTTGCGATATGATATGGAAATTTGTGAATAAAAATGATATCAATAATCTCTACTCACCAAAATCCACATAGCTGCCACCACAGAATTTTCGTCTTCCTCCAAAACATATGTCCAGGTGTTTTAAATCTGGATCTTTATTTCCTTCTATAGAAAGACAAATGCAACACCTGCATTAGTGTTTGATATCCAATTTCTTCATAAAGGAAAGAGTACAGACAGTAGAGTGCAGCCAAACACTATTAATATCTATGAAACAGCAAAAATTTCATGCAAATTCCATTGTTTTCTATTGTTTAGTCAGCACTATTTTGTACTATTTAGTAATTAGTGTTTCACGGATTAATTGTTTGCACTCTATTATTTTATTATTATTATTATTATTATTATTAATATTATTATACAGCTTCTCATTAATCCCATATAGGTAACTGTCCAATTATTTTCTTAATTGGACAGGTCTTGTCAATATGGGATTAATTAGGCAGCTATATAATTAATAGGTAATGGGATTTCATTCTCCCCAATCAAGAAATAATTAGACTCAAAAAATTCCTCTGACTGCCAAATTTTGTCAGTCCTTGGAATTTTCCTTGCCTCGTCCAATTATTTCTTAATAATTGGACAGCATGGAGTCCTATTACATATACTTATTTATTATTAAAGCATCAAGACAAAATCATACTAATTTTTCACGTCATGTTTTTTCAGTATTCAGGAAATAAAAAGTCCTAAGCAACTATATAATCATACTGCTTAGAGTTTCTCAATGCCCTGTACATGTGAATGAGCTGTGTGTCATGGGAACTACTTCAGATGTTACAGCACAACACACCATTAACTACTTACTTTCTATTGCCTCAAGGGCAGATGATGAATCTACAAATGTCACAAATGAATAATTATCCCTAAAAACACAATTATATGATAGGGTATTAGAGACATTGTAGGTCATCCTTACAAGATAAATACAGCTTTAATGAGTTGAGGAAATATCTTTTTATTTTGAAGATAGATTCAAGTGCAATGTCATTTATATAAAGGCGATTTTTCTTGCAATTTTCAACATACTTTTTGGAAATGTTTTGCCCCCCCCAATTAAAACACAAAAAGTATATTATAGATATTATGATTATTATAAAGGTATAAGAACAGAAAGAAATGGGATTTCTTACCCATCATTTCTGTAATGCACAGTGACTTTCTGAATTGGTCCATATTCTCTGAACCTCCTCCATATATCATTTTTCGACATTGACTCCTCAATGTTGCCAATATAGACTATTTTTCGCTTTTCCTACAAGACAACAGTAATTCTTTTATAAGTAAACTGTATCTTAGTTTTGCTTAAAATATTCCAATTTGATGTTCCAATCATGTACAACTTTTTTTGTTGTATACTAATAATATTATGGCTAATATCAATAACGTTGAAGCCAATTTTCCAGATAAATCATAATTATATAGCCCTTTAGCTGTAAAGGTTTCCCATTTCTGGTCTACCATGTGTCATTCTCTTGAAAAGAAAGTTGTATATATATTCATGTGTCTTCTTATAAATGCACAACGGTAAACAAAGAAATGATACTCTAGGGAATGACAATTGTTCTGAACAGCAAAAAAAAAWATATATATATATAGTAGATGGGCTGAAATCATAAGGGCTGCCTATAAAATAGTTATAAATGTACTGTAAATCAAAGTCGATGTCAAAATGTAGGTTTGTAACCCTGCTGCATACTTACAGTAGCAGTTTCCTTGAAACTCCTGTCCAGCTTGAAGTTCTTTTTGCGCTCCATTTCAATGTCATAAACGGGAGCTTTTTGGATACAGTTTTCTTTCTTGCTTTCTGCATCTTTTCTTCTCTGTTGTTCATAATTTAAGGTACAACTTCTAGATTTACCACTTGTGCTATGATTGTCATCTGAATCACTAGAGCTACTATGTGACCTGTGCCTTCTTTTGTGATGATTTTCTCTGCGCCCTAGTTTCCTTGAAGGGTACTGCCTTATTTCCCCATCACTTTCATCTTCAGATGTTGACCAATAACACTCATCTCTTGTATAATATTTTTTTCTCTTGTAGTCATAATAATCTTTCTCATCATTATCATCATCATCATCTGAACTGTAGCATCTTTTCGATTTTTTATAGCCATCATCATTAACTCTTTTGTCAACTGTAGAACCCGTGCTAGATTTTGGGATTTTTTTCTCTTTTTCTTGTAAAAATTGGAGAGAGCTTGTCTTTTGTTCTGAGTCACAATTTGTTGTCGGTTCTTCACCAACATTTTTATTACCATGATAGAAGTCATTCTTACTTTTACTGGAAACATTCTGCCTAGTTATACGATGCATTTCAGTTTTATTTTTTATATTGTTCATAATTGTGGCATTACTGGGAGCTTTGCGATTTGATGTAACCTTCTCCATGGAGGTACCAATTATTGTATTTCTGTCCTGCTTTTTACTCTCATTCACTGTCCCGGTGGGCGAAGTGGGAGGGACATTCCTTTTATCACGTGTTGTAACTGGAGTTGAGGGAACTATAGGTATAACTATAGGTATAACTATATACTTGGCTGCTGAAGGAATGCTTTGATTGGAGGGTGGACTCACTGGTGGAGTTAGACCTGTTAATTTATAAACATTTTTCTCAGTATTTATGGTTGAATAAATTTTTACTACTTATCGATTAATTATAAATTATTAAATCAAGATTGATAATTTAATTGCTTATTGATAGACAGCTACATGAGTTTGCTAAGATAAGATAATTTCGCATGTTAGTATCACGTAAACATGGATTATGGGTGATATATAGCCATTAGTACTAACCTATTGGTGATGATTCGCAAGGTTTCTTGTTAGCATTCAATGCTTCAGTCAAATTGCAACTCTTCTTATGGCTGTTGGAACAATTTGAAAAGTTGAATGTACATGTAAGAAGATACCAAATATCAATGGTCGTAAACAAGAAACATTTTTATTTGTCAACACCCAAACAGTAACTATATTTTGATCTACACACCTCGGAGATGACACTGGAGTAAGAGCAACAGATGAATCCTTGATCTTATTGGCAGTACCATCTGAAAAACAGGCAAAAATCAAATCATTTATATATTTATAAATACTCCATTTTACAGTACTGTTCAGTGAGCAAGAATAATAGTTCCAAGTGGAGGCAGGAGTTTCTGCACATAGAAAAACTATAGTTCACTATGCATGCTTTATATGCTAATAATATACATACTAATGTCAGAGTATTACTTACTTTGGTTCAGTTCATACTCAAGAAACTTATCCAGTAGACTGCTAACATCACAGGCCTCAATACAAGCTATAAATAACAATAATCAGAAGAATGGATAACATTTAATAATCATTTAGGTTAGTAGCAATGTTAAATGTCCTTGTTAAATGTTATGGACTTTAAAACCACAAGTTATTTGGCGCTGGTAGGAAAGGGGATTGAGGGAGATAGGTTTGCATATCACTATTTCCAAATTATTTAATTTAAATTTGGTAGAGAAAATTGTCTTAGGCCCCTTGCACCATGCAGGACATAACAATAGGTTTCCAACTCTCAGGAGATTGAAATTCTTTTGTTTTGCCCTCCAAATTGAGCTTCTTCACAACCCATGCAAGGAGTCTATTCTTGAGGGCACTGCTGCTGAAATTTGAAGGACACAGCTAAAAGTAATCAATTCACAGGCTTCTACAGACACACAAGGCTGCCACCCTATAATATTCCTAAAGCATACCTGGTATCTCTGGCTTTTGAAGAGGTCTTGTGCTAATAACTGGCTTCTGCACTAGATTTGTATTCTTCAATAAAAGGAAAAGAATTTCAGTACATCAATATACATCCTGATATGCTTTAATCATTTATTCATTCATTCATTTATCTCTAACAAGGTACAACAAATATAAACTAACAAAATTTGTATAATATAGATAACATCAATAATGGGTAATAAATTATTAATATTAGAATATTAATTTGAAAATGTAATAATAATTTATGATACTTATTAATAAAATTTAAGAATTGAACAAGTTGGCCATAAAATAATTGTTTTATTTGACGTAACTTGCCCTCCGAAACTATTTCTATAAAATAAAAGATTTCGGGTATAAAACAGCAAATACGAATAAATAGTATACAAATAAACCTTATAACGAAAACAATGCATTTAAAAGTCTATGATAAGCTTACAGCCTCTTTAGCCTTTGGGTAATCTTAAATCAATAAATCTTACTCATTTGTATAACTTATCAGTAATCTTAGACAATCAGTTGTTAGTAGTTTATCAAGGTTAGTAGTTAGCGTAAAAAGGCTTCCGAAACCCATTTTTCCGTCGCCATTTTGATTACTAGTATTTATGTCCACGTGGGCACTTGTACATGTAAGCATTGACTTTACTGTAACTATTACTAGATATACAAAGAAAATAATCGCATAAATGTTCAAAATCACCTGTTTTAAAGGAAGAAAAGATGGTTTTTTGCTTTCCAAACTCATCTTTTTATCCCCATGCGATTCAACGTGGTTCGATTTTAACGGTACTGTTGAAGCATGGCACGAAACACTCGCCACCAAACTCTGCATACCTATTCTTTGATTATATCTAAACCTTTCAGTAGTTTCTATATTGTCTGTCCTACAATGGATAAGATATTATATGGTCGTATTTCTCGTCAACTATGTCTAACACTCGACTCGAAGGGAAGCATGTTGCACAATCGTGACGTCACTTTACCACGAGATACACAGGCAACCCAAATACAGGTGGGTCGACAAGCACATCATTCCAAGCACAAGCACATCTTTCCACATAAAGATTCTCAAATCAAAAACTTATCAGGAAAACTCACTAAGGGATCGCGTTGGGTGATTACTGCTTTATTCGCGCATCCACCATTACGCCTTAATGCTTAGGGTGCCATCCATGAAAGGTTGGGCTCCCTGTGTCCCTTTCAGCGGTGCACCGCAAATGCAAGATGGCGGTGGACGAGTTGGAAATGCATTCTTTACCTTCTGATTTTCCAATGTTCAAGTAACTAAAACCATGGAATTCAAATATAGACCACAACTTATAACCTACAGACCATCTCTTTTTCATGATAATATTGAAACAAAGGAGGAACAGTGTTAATTTCTAGTGAAGTGTTGGTAGGCATGTTGATTGCTTGGCGAAGAGGCTTACAAATATTGTCGTTGAGCCAAAAAATCCTTGGTTTACCAGCTAAATTTGGCCCAGGTAAGACATTTAGTCATACTTGTACCTTCTTCATAAAGGAATTGTTTTGTATTTTAGTAGTGAAATGAAGTTACATAACATACCACAGGGAGCCCAATTAAAGCGCAAATAACTAGACTTAGCTGTTAAATCCAAAAGGATGATGAGGATGAGGATGATCGTAATGATGATCACTATGATACTAGTGACATTAATTTTGATGATGATGAAGACTGATGGTGATTACATTGTCGTCATATCTCCTGGGACCTATTACCCTTTATGCTCTTTACCATTTCCAAGGATATGAGCTGCATCATATAGCTAATTAGGAATGTGGAGGGCACAAAATAACAGCTGGTCACCAGGCAATGTCCAGCCAGAATATTGGAAGTTGTTCATTCAAATCTTTGTCTTGGCAGTCATTTTGACCAGTATATACAGTAACGTATAGCCAGAAACGAGGTATAATGAAGCTAAAACTAATTTGGCTGGGCATCATGTCTGGCAAATGCCCAGCATTTATTTTAAGCCCTAATATATAAAGAAAGTTATCTTCTTATTACATTTCTAAATAAAGTTCTTAAAAGGTGCTGCTAGCGCTCTCACTCATTATATTTTTCTGGATCTGTTTTCAGAGCTCTTCTTACCAAGATTATTGTCCAACAAATACCATAAAGTATTGGATCAGCATATTCAAAATATCTTACAACAGCATGACACTATTAACCAAAGATTATCCTCACCTGAGGTTTGTATTGAAGAAATAGTTATGAAACACGCGGGGATTGGCAGAACACGAGAGAAGTGTTAGGAGAAGCACAACGCGTAGCGGAGTGCTTCTCAACACTTCTCAAGACTAATGACATTGCATGAGATTTTATTATCTAATTCAATCAAATGCCTGAAACACAGTACAAACATTACTTTGACTTGGCCATGCCAAGTTCACAGCATTCAATCCTGGTGCTTTTATTAGCAATCATCCTTGTGCCTTGAGCAAAATGGTTTCATCTCTTAAAAATTCTTTTCACAGAAACTTTCTCCAACTGAGCTCAAAGATCTTTCCAAAACACAAGCAGAAATATCTCCACTGGTAAAATTATTCAAAGAAACTCGAAGAAAGAAGAAGGTAGTTGATGCATTGGTGTAAGATTTTGGCAGTCGATAGACAAAGTATATATTACTATATTACATGTACTGCAGTCAGTAAATATAATATACCCATGAAATAGATTGCTAGCTAACTAATTACTAACTTTGTGCTATTAGTTGCCCAAGTCTAATTATTAGTTAAAGAAATAGGTGAGTTGTGACGGGTAAACTAGTGCACGTGTGCTACTCAAGGGTGTGCATTTTAAAATATTTTCAAACACACTCACAAAAACTGAAACAATATTTTATTGTATATGCTTTTCCTTCGTATAATTTTACATGTTCGCATTTTCGTATCTATTCATTTGCGTATTGAGTTGTTACTCTAGTAAACGCCCGAGCCTTTGTCATGCCTCACTGAATTTCTATGTATTTACTAAAAGGCTAACTATCTCCTATTTCATCTTAACTATTTCACGGGTATATTATTTGCACTCTATTCTATTTGCCAAGGATTTGGAAGAACTGAAAAGTTTTGTACAAGAAGGTGGAGAACTGGGAGAAATGGCAGAACTTGAGCAAAGGGAGTTAATCAAGGAAATTGAGAAATCAGAGGTAATTATACCAGAGTTTAGAGGCACTTTCTGTACCATAGTACCATATGTGTATCATCAAATGATTGATCATAATATGCATTATGCCTCTTTACAGGAGGAAATAGTAAAGGCTCTTATTCCTAAAGATGAGGCTGATGAAAATGATGCTATCCTGGAAGTCAGAGCTGGTAACTTTTATAGCTTGAATTTCATGAATTAATTTGGAAGAGCATGCATAATTGTCATGGTTTATAATTATTTTTCCCTGCACTTTTCAGGAGCAGGAGGCCATGAAGCTTCTCTCTTTGCTTTCCAGATCTTTACTATGTACCAAAGGTTAGGAAAAGAATTAAAACATATACTAAGAATGAAGCTTTGAAAAATATGAAATGCAAAGATCATTGGCTATAATGATGTTTTATGCTTGGCAATGATGACTTATTATTAAGTGATGATGATGATGATGATGATGATGATGATGATATTTGTTGGTGCTGATGATGATTTAATTTTGATATTATTAGTGATATATTGTTAAGGTTATTCACTCCTGACACAAAATGCCCCATACAAACTCATAAACACTTGCTTTCTTTGACGTCATTTAGGTTTGCTTCCTACCACAATTGGAAAATAAATGTGATAAACATAAGTACAAACGACAGTGGGGGATACAAGGCAAGTAACACTATTGTGGCAGGCTGTATATTTATGTCATATTTCAGCTACAGCTGTATGGTGCAATTGATAGCAACACACCTAACAAAGTATAATGTAATCTTTTTCTGCAGGATGCTTCAGCCAGCATTTCAGGAGCTGGAGTCTTTGGGAAAATGAAAGTAAGAAACTGTTATCAAACATTAAATTATGGCAAGTGTAATTTCTTTTTACATGAGACTTTGTGTTGCAGAAAATCTTTTTATGTATGGTAGGGCATCAGTAAAGGGTTGCGTGATAATGAAAGTGTAGTCGGTCAGTAAGTAGTGGGCCAACCGCTCATTGACACCTCACCATACAGTGTGGGTTGATCACAACAGCCTTTCCCCTTATCTAACATTATAATTATTATGTATGTTAATAAAAATATACAAAGAAGCACAGCATTTTCACTATAGAGCTTTTTCACTTACGAGAAGGCAGCCATATTGGTGAACCAAACAATAGGAACTTTCTGCACACTTATTGCATAAAAATAGTAATCTTATTCTCAGCGATCTCCCCAGTGCTATATAGATGAGGATGGGAGTCTGCAGTCGCGAATCCAGAATGAACAGCGAATACAAATAAGGGGGGGGGGGGAAATACGTCAACTGCATAGGGATACAAGAGAGACTGCTTGCCTACAACTTGCTCAGTGCAGCCTTCAATCTCCAAGTATGTTGGTTGGTGTGATCTCATCTCTTATATTATGCTTGGTGAGACTGCTGACAATAGAGCTCAATTCCAAGAGGATAGAAAATGTATTGTTTTGATACACCAACATGGCTGCTTTGATGTCACAAATCTGTGAATTGGTGAAATTTCACAAGGCCTTTCTCTTGTTTAGTTTGAAGTTGGAACTCATCGTGTCCAGCGAGTACCTGTCACAGAATCTATGGGAAGAGTACACACTAGTACAATGACAGTTGCTGTTCTGCCACAGCCTAAAGAAGTAGGTTCCTGCTCAAATGGTTGATAAACAAAGAAATTATGTTGTTTGCTTAAATCGTATTTAGATTCCATTCATTTTTCTTGTTTAATTTTGGCAAATTATCCCAACAGATTGACATTTCCATCAACCCAAGTGACCTCAAAGTTGAAACATTCCGTGCTTCTGGGTAAGATCAATTTTCTATAATTTCATAATAATCATAATAGTAAATGATTATATCATATAATACTAGCAACCCCCAATAAAGTGTTGGTGCCGTGTCAGCTAACCAGATGCCAACATTCTAAAACCAATTACTGACAATGATTCTGTGGTCGTATTTACCCTTTTTTACAGTCAATACTAAATCTGTGTATCTTCTAGAATTAGAGTTTTTTTAAAAATAATTTAGTGTAAGAACTTTCTTCGTCACAGTGCAGGAGGCCAGCATGTTAACAAGACAGACAGCGCTGTGCGCATAACTCATCTTCCATCTGGTATGGTTGTTAGTTCCCAAGCAGAACGCTCACAATTTAAGGTAATTAATGTTAATACTTTTCCTTTGGATCCTTTCAAATTCTCAAATTTGTAATTTAAATGTTTTCTACTTCCCAGAACAAAGCATATGCTTTACAAGTTTTAAGATCTCGTTTGTATGATATACAAAGACAACAAGCTGTATCTGAACAGGACCAAACTCGTAGATCACAGGTAGGATAATATTTAGGAAATGACTGTTTTTCACTGGCACATTTTTCACTACATGGGACTGTGGCATTAAATAATGGGATAATTTGAGTTTTAATTTTATTTATTATTTTACAGATTGGCACTGCTGAAAGGTCTGAGAAAATAAGAACTTACAACTTTCCACAGGTATTTTAGTTATTAATATTATAATTCATAATTATTGTTGTTGTTGTTGTTGTCTATCTGGGAAATATAGCAAGTCAACACATGCCTATATACATACTTTTTATCTAACAGGATCGTGTAACAGATCATCGGATGGGTTTAAGCTTACATGGAGTAAAGGAATTCCTTAAAGGTGAGGATAAGCTGGAGGACATGATAAATGCTTTACGAACACAAAGTGAGTCTGAAGCAATGCAGAACTTATTAATAAATATTCAACTACAGCAAAAAGCTGACATCAAATACATGACAATACAAGATTACTACAATATCTGTCAAATTTAATTTTGCCACTTTTTATGACTGTATAAAATGTGATGAAGTTAATTAGACTTAAGACTAATTTTGCCTGTATCATGTCTTTGTGCCATTTTTAATCATACCAAGGTAATGTCTATATCTAAGTTCTTAGTTTAATTTAAAAAATTCTTATAACAAGTTTAAGAATTATAACAATGTACAGTAGAGTATTCAAAGTTTTCATCTTCATACAAAATAAAACAATTTCTCAAAAGTTAAAAGATTTGTCATTTTTCGTATATAATTTTTTTTTTAGTATATCAAAATAAACTGTTTTGTTTTCAACTGGAAAATTAAATAAATATGTGCAAATAGACCTCTTTAGTTTAGGCGCAGTGGTTTCTCATTTCATATCATGAGTCATTCCCTTGAGTATTATGTCTGTATACTGGTAAATGTTTGAGAAAATACATTTGATCTGTTGATATAGTTTTGGATATGAAGAATCTCAATCTTCAAATAAAATTAAATTAATGTCCACAAAAACCTTTTTGTCTGGATAATTACTTTTGTAAAAAATGCATTAAATGTTCATAAAAAATTCTCATCTAGATAATAAAATTTTGTTAAAGAAATGTAAGTTTTTATGTCACCATGGAAACTATGTCAGCCATGGCTCAATAGCTTTGTCAAACACTTCCTTGTTGCCATGCCAATGGATGTGTTCAATCCTACTAAACGTATAAGTATGAACCCCTCCATTAAGATCCAAAGTACGAAGACCAAAGCTGTCTTGGATATAAATCTGAAAGAATAATATGGTATAACAGAAACATGAATGATATTGTAGTGAGAGTGCTTGCCACAGAATTATTTTGAGTTCTCTGTTATGGTTTGAGGGGATTTCTATTTATTCTCTTGAGTTTCTTTACTCTAACAAGTCACAATTTTTAAATCGTAATTGATTCAGTGGATAATGATCCACCCCGTAAAAATGCTATTTCAAAATTCACTATCATTTTTTTATTCATACATCTCTCTATGCATTGGGTACTATATTTTATAGTACGTCAGTAGAGTTTGTGTGATTCATATACACCTTGTAGGGAACTTGTTCAATAATTATTGTAACAATAATTACTGTTTCAATAAATAAATTTATATTTTCACTTCAAAATACTTTACAGTTAGAATAGTTTATTACAAACAGATGCAGATAAGAAATTAGAGTGACCACAGTAATTCCATGAAACACTAATTACTAAATAGTACAATATAGTGCTTGTTAAACAATAGAAAACAATGGAATTTGCATGAAACGAAGGACTAGTGTCCGAAACGTCAGTATTTTCATCTTTTCACGGTGTATAATTTACCTTTTTATCATTACTATTTGGTATTACTAAAGTTTCATGGATTTACTGTGGTCACTCTATAAGAAAACTTACTAACCTCTTGTTCTTTCATAGACTTTATGTATGAATTATTGGAGCCATAATATCCAAATTGACTGCAAAACAATATTAATTTAATGGAATAAATCACATTGTATCATGAAGTAACCATTCAACGGATTTACAGACAGACACATAATATCCACTAATTAAAATATCTTAACAACATCTGCTTAACCCACTGTATTCTGCATTCAATACTCAAGAGAATGAAATGGGAAATTATGGAAAATGGTAAAACAGTATGCCAATATTAATTGGTTCTGTCAATAAACCTTTTCGGCTTGGATGTAATGTTTTCCAATATTTTCAAACCACATGTCATTCCCTAGAGTATCATTTTTTGGTTTAACAGTTGTACACAAGAAGACAAATGAATATGGATACAACTAAAACGAGGAATTATATTCTCAGGATAATGACATGTGGTCTGAAATGGAAAAAACAGTACCCCCAAGCTGAAAGGATCTATTCTTCTTTTGTTGATAGTCTGTCAATTTAGTTCATTCATCATATTATTAGTGAATGCATGTGTCTAGCACATGCAAAAATATGTACCTTGATTCCCAGGGTGTGATGACTCCATCATCTGGCCCACCAATCAGAATCAAGTTTTTCAACTTTAAGAAGTTTTTCTTCTGAGTTTCATAAGCTGTAAAATAAGAATGTGACAATTCTAATCTAATCTAATCTACAAAGCTTTTCGCAGACGATCACAGCGTGGCACAATCACAACAGAGCTAGGCTCTAAATTAAGTGAAAGCCCAGAGATCGAATTAGAATTTAAAAGTTGATTTTTGAGGAGGGAGGAAAACCGGAGGACCTGGAGAAAAATTGGTAAGAGGCGGCGCATCAGCAGCGCACGCCACCAGTGCTTCTGATAAGCCTTACTTCCTAGATATAAATCATATCCATGCATGTATCTACDAAGTTTATTTATGTATTGAGTATCAAAAGCTGGATTACCTGTTTTATTATAATAAYRAGATGATTGGTTATTGTTGATGTAAGGAAGAAAGATATTTTCACTTAGGTTTAACTCTTCATGGTATGGATCTGAAATGAAAATGAAAAAAAAAACGAAATTGCAAAATATTTAATTCCAAAAAGTACTAGAGCACATGCAGTAAAACCATGAAATAACAACAAAGTTGATACTGACAAATAGTAGCTACTTAGTGACTAATAGTTGCTGGCACTCAACCAGAACATTTATTAAGCAAAACACACAAATGATCTCTTGTGTATTTGTCTTTGTATGATGAATGTTCTGGTTGAGTGATAGCAACTATAAGTCACTAAATACATGCTATTGGTCAGTATCAACTTTGTTTTTATTTCATGGTTTTACTGCATATGCTCTATATTTAGTTTCCTCTTAACCCTTAAAAATTCTAGAAACCTCCATCTGGGAATAGGAATGAATGGATATTTTCTGGATTTTCACCTCCTTTTCACCTCTTTACAGTTTTGCAAAATTCAAGATGATAGGAACCATCATAAGATCAGCTTGTGTGACTTATTCTAGCTATACCTACCATTCCAGTAATTTGCGATGGAAAACAGGTGTTGAAAGAAAAAAGAATAGAGAAATCTGAAAAAGAAAAAAAAAATTATTTCATCAGCACCAGCACTTTGACAACAGCCTATATAGGTTGTATCCTGTAGAATTAACTTCAGGTAAATGCATGTTTTGATTCAGGGTTGGTGGTCTTCTCTCAACAGCAGTATAGTAAGAGTACCAGAGATTGAGGGGTGAGCTTACACATTTTGGAGCAAAAATTCCTGCAAAACCCACAGGTAGCCCAACAAAATAGAAAAGACATTTTTTTAATTTTTAAAATTTTTAATCAATCTTATTGAGGGGAAGTTGCCCCCCTTACTCGCCCTCCTAGCCTCTTGCTATGCCCTCACACTAGGTGTATAAGGCTCTATTTCTTCAGCATGGCTTTCTGATTATAATGTATGACTGGGAAGCACTAGATCTAGAGTGAGAGCATTTCTGGAACCCACAAACAATAATGAATTATTATACATATTAATTTGTCTGTCATTACTTGTATGCATCTTTCACAGCAACATTGGGGATGAAAGGCTTGAGGTAAGATGAATCTAGGAACAGTGATAGAAATATATTAAACATTGATAATAATGAAAAGAGCCCAGAGCTCAGCGAACTTTTGCCGTGTTAAACTTAACACATGCTATCTCCTAGTGCTCAGCAAGATAGCTGATGTATTATATAGTAGTTCTCAGCATTTTCTTAGCTGCTGGCCTCAAAGGCAATTAGATTCAACATCTGAACTGGACCCAAGCAGTTCCTAATAAATCTCTCAGAATATGCCTCTTTAGCTTTGTATGCAAATTGCCCATTTCAGATCACATGACATTCCCCTGAGAATTGTTCTTTTATGACGAACATGTTAAAATATTTACACATGAAAGAATCAACTCCCAAAAGTCGCATCACATGGTCTATTCATATGGTTTTTTTTTGACTCAATTACATACCTCCATACTGTCCCATTTGTGGAGATGACAAGCTGATAAAGGTATCAATGTTGTGATCAGACATCGTCTCTATCATCCCTCTAGCCATTATTCCACCTAGTATATTATAATAGTAAGATACTTTTCATCAGTAAACAAAATTTAATGGAATTCCTAGAAGTTTCACTGAATTTGTTATTATCAACATTATTTTGTAATAATAATTAAATTTATGAGCAACAGCTGAAAATTGAAGCAATCAAGGTTGGCTTTCATTAATTTTAAATAATAATCTGCAGAAATTAGTACTATAGCTACTTTAATACAAATTAAGCTCAAACAATTTAATTTCCGCTACAAGAATTTGCTTACTATCACTTTTCATTGTACAGGAAGTAAATAATTTTATGCTACCAACAACAAAAAGAGTAAAAAATACAATGTTAAATGGCAATAAACTAACATACATCTA